TGCCCTCGTGTGCTCATTACCGTCTGCTCTGGAGCTGCACTCAAGCCCTGTCCTTACTCGCAGCACTGAATTTTTCCAGAACAGGAAAACAACAACAATGGGCATTTTCTGTGGATTTAAATCCAGTTAAGATACTGGGGAGGTAGCATAAATAGGCTCAAACTCTGTTATCACTGAAAGCCATCTGTCCTCATTGGTTCCTGATTTCTCCTAATGCCAGTAACACATACTTACTCCTGTTTCCATGTCGCAGTTCTTCCACCAACTGGCTGCATGACCTTCAACGAGTCACTCAGCCTCCCAAGCCCTGCTTCCTCATCTGACAAATGCAGGGGTCACGGGAGACAAGCACCCCTGCCGCTTTGAAACGACAAGTCTGTTCTCCTGTGGCTGGGCCCCGAGCACCCTCTATCTTCCCCTGCGTGGTCCTGGGCACAAAGCTGGTGCCCAAAAGATGGTGTGTAGGTAGGCCAGGGCTATTTCCTGACAGCTCGTAGGACCACACAGTTCGAGCCAAAGAATCGGTAGGAAAGGTTCAGAGCTCACAAAGCCACATTTTCCAAGACATGTTGTAGGAAGAGGGCAAAGGACAATGGGACAAACGCTTCTGTGCTTCCTCCATTTTCTTGGAACTGATTGGCGGGTACAGTTTTGGCATAGTCTGCACGTGTGTGGTCCGAAACACGAGGACCAGCCCTCAGGGCTAACAGGCAGCACATGCCCTCTGCTTGTCAGCATTCCTGTCACATAATCATTTTTAACTATCATTTTGCAACTGTAGTAATAGTCAAGAATCAAAAGACTTACAATTAATCCAATAAGGGAAACAAAGCAACTTCTAGTAAAAGGGAGGAATGAAGAGTGAGAAAAATCAAAAAGACCATTGTGAGAAAAAGAGTATTTTTTAAAACAGATTAACAGAAAGGGTGAAGGCTGAGGCTTTTGCGGAGCAGCTGGCAGACAGGAAAAAAAAAAACTTAGCTAACAAATAATTTGAATGAAAATGGTTATGTAAAGAAATTGGAAAGGTTATAGTGCCAGAACAATAATGTACCATTTTAAACAAAAACTGTTTCCTGGAATGGACTGCCTCTCATGGTTATTACATGAAAAGTCTGGTGAAAAATAATGATAAGGGAAATAAGGACTAAAGGAAAGGTCTTAAGGAGAAAATTCTGAGTCTGAAAGAAATATAGCCAAATTTGTGTGATGAACTGCCCCAAAATGAGCACTTCTGAGAAAGGAAGCAATAAAATGAGTAAGTAGAGAAAGTGGGCAAAATGGAGGACCTTATGGTAAGGAGAGGGCTCTTGAAAGTAAAAAAAAAAATACAGTCAAGCTCAGAGAGAGAAGAAAGGCAATCTGCAGGCGGGCCCGCAGCACAGGCTCTGGCGCTGAAGTCCGAGCAGCGCGCAGTGGCCCCAGTGAGCTGGTCCCCGGCGTGCGTGGTACATGCACTTGGCCTGAGTGATGACTGCTGCCTACTTTTTTTAACTCACAAAAATCAAAGTATCATGTAGCTTTTCCAACCTGCCTGAGGCTCCATGTAATGAAAGAAAAGGATGAATCATATGTAAGGATATACTTTGATGAAAAGCCCCTGATCATTCAGTGCCATGATCAGTTTAACAATCCCCATGATGTTTAGCTGGCAGAGAAATAACTATTTTTGGACTTCACGTAGCAGAGATGTATCACAAGCATATTCATAGGTATTTGTGGCGTATGTCCACTTAGAGCATCTGAAAGTTCAATTTCTGGATGCAGCCTGGGTTTTATATTTGTTCCTGCAGTGACGGTTTGTTTTATAAGGAATAATTACGCAGTTTTCTTTTTTCTGAGAATTCACTAAAACAGTCACGATAGTAGCTAAAGCTTAAATAGTACTTACAATGTGCTAGGCACTGTTCAAAGGCCTTTACATACACTAACGCCTGAACCCTACAGTAATCCTCTTAGGTAGGTACGGTTATGATTCCACTTTGCAGATGAGGAAACTGAGGCACAGGAAGGTTAAATGACTGGTCACACAGGCAGAAAGGAGCAGAGCCTGGAGCCCAATGCACTGAACTCCTGGGTACCCACTTCCATACTTGGCAAGTGTTCATGTTTCCTATTTTCTCCAAGTCCTCTTATAATATATAAAAGGAACATAACACTACACAGGAAGTTGCACAGCCCATTATGTTCCCATCTTCTGTCCCATGAGGGTGAAGTATACCCTTCATCTCCTGTTAAAACATTTTTACATATATGCCTTGTATCAACGGGTGATATATAGTGCTATTTTTCATAAATAATAATATGCTCTATTTACTTTGTGCAACTTGTTATTTTTCTCTCATCATTATGTGTGTGAGCTCTATTTATGCTGCTATGTATTGAACTCTTGGACTGCACCATTCAGTTCTGTAGCCACTGGCCACGTATGGCCACTGAGCACTTGAAATGTGGCTATTCAAACTGAGATGTCAAAGACGGTTTGAAAAACAGTAAAACAGTAAAACATCTCTTCAGGTATTACTACTGTCTCTCTTATTCACCTGTTTTATTTCTTGAATGTGGTTACTAGAAATTGAAAATGAAGTATGTGACTTGCATTATATTTCTGTTGGAAAGCCCTGATTTAGCTCATTCCTCTTAGCTATAAGTCTGGGTTTTGTAAATCGGTGAAGCAGCAAGCCCTAAATCCAAACAATAAGAGCTAATATTTACTGTTCACAGGTACTTTTCTAAGTGATTTGTAGGTAATAACCTGCTCAGTCCTTCTAGGAGGTTGTGCAGTTTGTTGAAAGTCACACAACTTCAAGCAGGTTGAGCTGGGACTGAAGTCAGGCAGACTGGCTCCACAGTCTGCCCTTGCACCCACCAACTTGACTGGAAAGGTCCTAGGAGAAACTATAAATCTGCCTAAGAAAGTGCCCAGCTAGCCTAACTTTGTGATGCCTCTAACAGTGTCCAGTTCTTACCAGTCAGTGGAGCATCTGCTTTTTCACTTTCAACAGAGCAGTTATGAACAGACAACATTTGTTGTGGCAATTTCAGTTTTAATGAAACCAGCACAGGAAATATTTTCTGACATCCACTTGCAATGTTATGAAGTCAGCTTTACTCTTTGACAGCAATTATATTAACTATTTTTAGGGAAAATTGTCAATGCACCCTACTTGTTCATGCTTCCTTTCAATTTGTTTTCTTTAGCCATATCTATTTATACCTTAAGTGTTTTTTTCTCTTTTTAAAAAGAGATGTCCTCATTATTCTGTTAACGATAAAGTTGGGGCTTGTAATTAAGTTATAAAACACACCCAGAGGGAAAAGATGACGTGCATTGCCATGGGGATGTTATTGATGAATATCATATTGTTTTTTGTGTTCTGAATAAAAGCCTCCCTTTATAAAGTTACAGAACTGGCAGGGACCCGAAGTCTCCTATGTGTTGGTTAAGACCATGGACTTGGCGTCAGGCAAGGTGTATGACCCTGGGATCAGTATCTTAATCATTGTAAGCCTCAGTTTTCTCATCTACAAAATGGAGATACAACATCTAATTTTTAGTGCCCTTTTGTGGATTAATTAATAATTGTGACTCTGTTCATTATACCTACTTTTATTCCATAGTAGTTGTGGAATTACTATTACTATCCCACTGTTATGTCCCCAGATGACTCCAAGTGTGTATAAGTCTCTCAAGGGACCTCTGGTCCTATCCCCGCAGGCCCTTCTCCATTCAATTCCGGGACTCTTTTAGGTGAAGACATCCCTGGTGCGCAAGAAGGAAACTGCAGCACGCCCCTCCTCTGCTCTCCCTTTGGGTCACTCCGGGCGTTCTTGCCAAAGAAGGCCATGCTGAGGCCCACTGACGAAGCACGCCCTCCAACACCCTTACTCCCTTCACTCGTCTCACTCCCCTAGGATCTGCCTCCACAAACCCCTCCTCAGGCAGCTGAAAATATCAGCAGTGATGCTTTCCTTGGGATCAGTCACCTCGTTCCTAAGTGCTACTGTCATCTTGCTACCTGAATGTGGGCTTCCTTGCCTCTCTTTAAGGCCCATGATGGCAGACTGAGGAACGATGGGGCTTTCCTAGCTCGTGTCTTCTGCGACTCACTGGCTAAGCTTAGGATCAGTGTCCCCGTTGCCCAGAAACTTAATATATACAGCTCCCATGCCATACTTGCTTTAAGGGACATAACCACAAACCCACCAGAAGCGCCCCCCTTCTTTGGCCTAGGATCCTAGGGAGTCCTCATGCAAAGGAGACCTTTTGACATCAGCCATGTATCTGAAGTTAGAAAGCAGTTTAGGCTATGCCATGACCCTGAACTGAAGAAGAGTGCCTGACATTGACTTACCTCTAGGATATGACATTTATTCCTGGCACTAACCCCTTTGTGCCTTGTACTAAAGTTGGGACAGCCTCTCCACCCCCTCCCTCCACATTTAGCAAAACATCTGTCATCCAGATGCATATTAAATATTGAATTATTAGTTCGTCCCTATCCAGCCAGGTGGTTTGAGAGATGTAATCTCTGTTTCTGCATCCTTAGGGTAGCACAGGGTCTCACACTATTGCTGGGACAAGGTTCTCCTGCAGGCTTCGGTGTGTGGTGCAGGAGCTGTAGGTCCTTCACGTCTGGGTGCTCAACGTCCGTTGGGCCCGGTGCCTTGCACGTAGCAGGTGCTGGGTAAAGTGCAGTTTACTCTGCGTGCAGTTCAAGTTGGTTCTTTGGAAGGCCTTCTCCGAGGGCTGGGCTACGCAGAGACTAATCTCTAGGCTTCCTGTAATTGCTTTTGGACCGTCTTCGTCACGTGAATTAATAAGACGTCATTTCTAAAATCTCCCATTTCTGACTATTTAATAATTTAGCTAACTTGACTCACAACCAGGCCACCCAAAACGCGCCAACCGCCTGTTGCCTAGTAACAGCCACCCCGCCCCCGCAATTTTGCCCCGCCCCACGCCCTAGCACGCACACTCACCTCTCCTCCAGGTCCCGGCCCCCGCGGGCGCACGGTGGTGACGTAAGGGAGCGCGACGCTTCCGGAGGGCAGACTGCTCCGGCCTTGCAGACTAGTGGGAGTCCCGACTGCCATGGCTTCTGCTGCGGTGGCCCCCGGGAGACAGGCCGAGGATGCGTTACCGCCCCCGGGAGAGCCGCCGCTGCCCGAGACGAAGCCGCTGCAGCCTCCGCAACCGCCGTCGGTCGCCGCGCCTCAGTCGCAGCAGTCCCCAGCGCCGAGGCCTCAGTCACCGGGCCGCGTGAAGGGGGAGGAGAATTACTCCTTTTTACCTTTGGTTCACAACATCATCAAATGGTAAGGGCCCAGGGTAGGACACGCCTCCCGCTCTCATTACGTGTTTCAGAGCTGCAAAGGTCTAGGTGCTCTCGGTACGCCCCCATTTTACAGGTGGGGAGGCTGACCCAGCGGGTAAAGAGGCCTTTCTCAAGACCACACCGAATCGTTTCGTGCGTTCAGCAAACGCTTGGAGCTCAGAGCTGCCAGACCTCCTGATGGACAGGCGATATTCTTAAAAATGAAGCTAGCTTAGAGCCCAAATGCACAGGCTCTGCAAAGTACTGAAGTTTGCGTCTTAGTGATCTGGAGCGAGGCGAGCTTCTCTGAGCCTCAGTTTTCTCACTTGTAATACAGGGGTAATACTCAGTTTGGTTCCTTTTTCTCTACAGATGCAGCGGATAATGTATCATCTTCCCTGTGTGACACTCTGCTAAGCGCTGTGGGATGTACGCAGTAAAAAGGGCCGTCTTTTCACCCCCACGTTGCTTACTAGTTAGAAAGAAAAAAAGACAGAACCAGAATAACCCGTAATTGGAAGACATAGGAGGGGTGATGTTAGGAAACATTTAAAGAAACAAAGATACAGAGAAGCTGCTTTGTGTAAGGTAGTACCATACCAAAGGGAGTGTTTGCATTCTCCTGGTCAGCCTCCAGATTAGCCTGTTTTCAAACTGACCCTGTAAAGAAAAAAGAAAAAACACAACCAGTAGTCTTCCTGATCCCCATGTTTGTCTAAATTATTTTTACTGTTATTTATTTCATACAATACTAACTGTAAGTCCCAAGGCTTATAACTTGTATTCAACCATTAAAAACCAAAAAAAGTTAAAACAAAATTACTATTACAGTAACATTTCTGTGCGCTTGGACATTTTGCTGAAATGAAATTGCTACTCACAACATGAAAGTATTGGCCAGCTTCTTCGAGTTTAGCCAGACTAGATTCACTTGCTGTGGGATGACCTGGTGCTTCCACCACTTTTCAAACAACTGACTTCATTTGGCTTCACTTGATGTGAAGTTACTGTTTACAGAGTAAGACAGACTCTGTTCTCTTCTCATTAGCCTGTGATCATAGGTGAGCACTTCCAGGCATCAGTAAGATAGCAAACATGACTAGAGACGCATTCCCTGCAATCCCAGGGCAGGGCTGGATTGTAAAGGGGTTAACCAGATGAACCCAGATAACACTGGTTTTAGGAAAAATACAGACAAATGAAAACAAAATGTATACATTCTCAGAGACAGTTCTAAGGCTCCCGAGAGTATATTCTTGAACTCAATAAATTAGTTAGGTCAGGCTCCCTTAAAGATGGAGCAGCAAGGTACACTAGAGAGAACACGGTTTTCAAGTCAGATTATCTTGGATTCAAGTTTGTGTGCTGATGATTGCTTGCCTTGTAATCTTAGTAAATATATAACCTTTCGCCTCAGTATTCTTATCTCTAGTATGTGAATAATAATAATGACCTCAAATGATGGGTTCAAATTATAGCTTTATAATGAACTGGCTGGGTAACCTTGGTCAAACAACTTAGCTTCTCTAATTCTCTTTTTCTCCTGTGAAATGGGACTAACAATACTTAAATGATAAGATTCTTGTGAGGTGCACTCCGGAGCAGCCTGCTGTGAAAGATGGTGGGTTTGAAAATTCCAAAAAGACGGGTTGATCACATGTGTTTGTTACTGTTCCCTCTGAAAGGACACTGAGGAGTGTCTTTTTTAAAAGTATAAAACCAAAAAGAACAGGAGAGGAGGTAATTGCCATAATGCAGATGGCAGTAGCTAATCCATCTCCAGCCCCAAGAAGCAGCCAGAGGCAGCTGCCTGACCATGGCCTTCCCCACAAAAGTCCAAGTAGCAGATCCCCGTGCCCACTCTCCCCCTCCAAGCAGACAGGTGACTACCCTCTTCCATCTGCGTGGCATTTAAAGGGTTATTCTTTCCCAAGATTTATTTTTAGGAAAGAATTAGCCTGAGGGACAGCAGACACATTGCAGGAGTTGAAAGAAGGGAACCATACTGAAATAGAGATAAAAGAAGGTTCATAAACTAAGTATTGAACCCACCTGGCTTTTAGCCTGTCAGTCAAGGAGAATAGAGATGCCTTCTCCAGAGTGTCTGATCTGACCAAGAGAAGACATTGGAGGCTCCCAAGAAAGAACTCAGTCAGTTCATTCTAATAAGTTAAGTTCCCTCACTGATGGTAATTGCTATTAATATTTAAGCCTCCTTTCAGAATTATATATGCTGTCTTTAAAAAAAAGTATACAAATTGAGATCACACTGTACTTTGCTTTTTTCACTTGGTCTGTTGGGGACACCTTTCCATATTCACACAGGAAGGTCTTCCTCAGTCGGATGGCTCACCATACATAATGTGATCTTGTGTCTGGATGTTTGCCTGTCTTTCTAATTGCTGCTGTTAACTAGCAGTGTTAGGGTAAGCATCTTGTATTTGAGTAAGTTTATGTTGAGGTAAATCCTCAACGCTGTAATTGCTGGAGTGGCAGGTGCATAAGTATTGCTACATCTTTTTAGCTCTTTCTCTAAAATGCAATCCTGTAGGCTGGACTGCTTCACTTAACCTAAAATAGCCCATAAATCTGCTACCCAGAAAGTATTTTTAAAAAGTTAAAATTGTAGATATATTTAAAGAGTACACACAGATACAAAATGGCAAGCAGGCCTTTACCTCTGCTCCTCCAGCTCCCTCCCTTGCCCCCACACCGCATAATATCCCACTGTGTGAATATGCCATCGTTTATTTAAACAGTTGCCTGCTCAGGACACTTTTACTCTCCACAGCGTTTTGCTATGCAGTCAGCACTGCAGGGCACTTCTTTGTTGTTGTTGTTTTTTAAGGTGTCATTGATACACACTCTTATGAAGGTTTCACAAGAAAAACAATGTGGTTATTCACCCTTATTATTGAGCACCCCCCATCCCATTGCAGTCACTGTCCATCAATGTAGTAAGATGCCACCAAGTCCCTATTTGTCTTCTCTGAGCCACACTGTCTCCCCCGTGACCCCACACACACTCATGTGCACCAATCATGATACCCCACAATCCCTTTCTGCAGAGCACTTCTTTGTAAGTGCCTCCTTGTAAACTCTTGGAAGTCTCTGTGGATTAAATTTCCAGTAATAGGATATGAAATTTGAATTTGAAATTTTGATCACTATTAGCAAATTCAGAAAGTGTAGCAGTTTGTGCTTCACCAACAGAGTATTTGTATCTTTCTCTCATACCCCTGCCATCACCATTAAACTTTTTAACTTGAGTGAATTGATAGGTCAGAAATTATACAAAAGTATTGATCTGTTTCTTATATCCAGCATAGCATCTTTTCATATACAACATTATATGTTATTTGTGCAACATTATATGTCATTTGTGTCTTCCCTATAAACTGCCCATTTTTTCGGTTAGGTCATTCCTCTTCCTGTGAGCTCTTTTACAGTAAGGAAACCATGACTTTGTCAAGGGTGTTTATAAATATTTCCCCTAAGTTGTTACTTTTCTTATGACTTTGTTCCTGGTATTATTTTTCTCAGTCAGAAGCATATGGTTTCGTGTAGGCAGATCTGTTAAGCTTTTTCTTCCTGGTTTCTGAGTTTTGGTCCTTGTTGGAAGGGCCTTTCCACTTTAATAAAATGGTAGGTATTGCAGCAGCACAGGTATATTTACTATCCTCACTTCCTTGTAATCTTTTCAAGTTTATAATTGGAAAAACATGGAAGAGTTACATAAAAAATAAACACAGAAAACTTCCAAAAAAAAAAAATGGTGGGTATTGATCCTTTTTTCCTAGGACTTCATGGTTTCGTTGTTTTACTTTTAATTCTGTGATGCTTCTGGAATTTACTTTGATGGAAAGAGTAAGGGAGAGGGGGCAGCCTGTCCCCCAGGCAGCCGCGTCTTCCCGCAGCTGTCACTGAGTATTCGTTTCCCCAGCTCGAGCTGCCACCTTTGCCATACACTGAATTCCCATATGTTTTCTGATCTACTTCTGGACGTTTTACTTTTCTTCAGTTACCGAACTGTGTTAATCTTAAGTCTTCATCCTACATTTAATTATCTTCAAGGCTAGTCTTCTCGTTTTCCTCTTGGCAGTATTTGCCCAGAGCTCCTTTGCCTTTCCCAGCCTATCTCCTGGTAGCCTAGGTGCTTTTAGTGTTTCTGGTTAGTGGAACATTTAGGTTTTAAACAGCTCCTTTACTTCCAAGCCTGTTGGTCATGCTCCAGGTCTTCTAACCTCATTTTTGGATCTTATAATCACTTCCTAATTAGTTCCTTTGCCTTTGTCCTCCCCTCACTCTAATTCATCGAATGCATGTTATCAGGTTAGTGTTTCTCTGCCCAGAAGTTTCTGGGGCTCCCTGTTCTTCCCAGCTTTTAGCCCTGCAGGGATCTCGGCAGACTGCCTTCAGAGGCCTGCCCAGACTGTGCAGCATAGCCCCAAGCCCCAGAGTTGTTCTGACGCCAGTGCCCTTTGGGTAGGTGTGGTCCTGCGGGCTGTGCGTGCTCTGGCCCCTCTGCAAGGGTGCCTTCCTGCCCTGTCTCTGCTCAGGGAAATGCCGTGTATTGTTATGGATCTGCTCAGAGGCTGCCCATCTGTGGGAGAACTCCTGGCCCCTGCAGGCCCACTGGCTGGGATGCACCCTGCCTGGCATTGGAGGGAAGCTCCCAGCCCCGTAGCATTTCTGTCCCTCCTAGTGCCTTTCCCATAGTTGAATGAATTAGTAAAGCCACACATTTGTGATATTTTTAAAGAACAGGAAAGAGAAAAGAAAAATCTCATTTTTATGTCAATAAGAAATGATCCCAGCATTTTAAGGCCTTTTCTGATATATACAGCAGCCATGTTGTAGAAGTACATGTATAATATATAATAAAGGGTGAAATGAAATGAGGCCTGTTGGAACAGGGAAGTTCTCTTTTTTTCCTTAAAACTTGCCAGATCTAATCTGCATCTGGCACTGAGTGTCCAGCCGAGGAACTGTGAATTGCAGCCATCGCTGTCCTGCCCAGTAGTTTTGTTTTACCTAGTGAAGTATTTTGCCAACATGGGGACTTAAAACATTTGTTCAATTTTTTTAGTTCTTTAAAATGTTTTAAGTTGCAGGGTAGGTAATGGGGGCTTATTGACACTGCAGAGGCAGTTCAGGTGACCGGCATACCCCCCTGACCCTTACTTTCCAAACCAGGGCCACATTGCTTCAGCAAGCCCCTTTGTCTTGGAGGCAAGCCAGCAAGACCTCAGAGCCAGACCTTTTTTCTGGGAACTGGATATTACTGACCGGCTTCTTCCTACACAAGATCTATTTTAGTCGAACCAGCCCTCCAGGCCAGCTGAGGCCTATCCTCTGGCAGCGCAGGAAGTGGCGACCCCATCAGTGGAAGTCTGTGAAATGACGGCGCGGGCTCCATGGGGCTTGTCTGTATCCGTTTGCTGCTGTTCATTTTCTTCTTCAACCAAATCCCACTGAAAAGGATGAACACCTGATAGGGGCTATTTGTAGACTGGGAGAATTCTTTCCGGGCCTGCATACATCTTTCCTTTGCCACTGTCATCACTGTGCATTCAGCATACCTTATCAGGCACCTGCTGGAACAGAGGCCCTACAGAGAGGCAGGCTCTGGGTGTCAGGTGCCTTAGTGCTGCTTAGACAGTGCTGCTGTGAAGCATCTACACTGGGTCTTGGGAAGGGTGGGGCATTGGGCTTGGAAAGGCCCCTTTGCTGTAACTTGCCTGGCAGGTGTCCTCTGGGAGCAGGGGAACCATCTGAAGCTTTTGAGCTCAGAGTGGGGTTTGTGAAGGTAGGTGGGGCAGAGGGTTTGAGGAGCAGGAGAGGACCGGGTCTACAGGAAATCAGTGACAGTGGAAGGAGGAGGCAGAGGCCATACAGAGGAGGCAGGGTCAGCAGGACTGGTGACCCTCGGTGGGCAAGGAAGCAGTGGGAGCAACTCTGAGGTCACCATAGTCGTGTGGGTGAGGTGTCCTCCGTCTGAGGTGGGGCAAGCTGGGGAGGCAGTGAGTCTACTTTGGACATTTGCAGACCCAAGGTGGAAAAGATTGGTAACTGTGAGGATGAGGGAGCAGAAATCCAGGAAACAGGGCTGGGCTGGGGAGTTCTCGGCCTCCTGGGGGCAGGGGTGGGTGCGTGCATTCTGGGCTATTTGGTAGAGCAGTGTTTTTTTCCAGCTTCTTTTAGCAGCAGAAACTTTTGCAGGCCCTCCCTAAAAAAAGTATTTTCCGTGTGTAACCCTGTGAGCATAAAAGGTAAAAACAAGGGTGTGAGGTTCACAGCCACTCTCCCAAAGTCCTCTTAGGTGCTGACGGAAGTGGAGCAGAGAAATACACAGGGCCGCTACATACGTTTCCGAGGCTGTGTGGGAACCAGTATTAATGTCCATCGTCACAGGGAGTGTATATCAATAGTTTTTTGGAGGACATTTTGGTAATCTGTTAAAACTTTTAATATACATAACCTTCAACCCAGAAATCCCACTTCTGAGAAATTATCTAACTAAAATATTTGCACAAGTACATACATAGGTACAAAATGTTCATTGCCATTCTGATTACAAGTGATAAACCACAGACGCCCAAATCCCCACCTGCAGCCAAATAATTTAGCTGTGTAATTGTATATGTATGTGTTAACATGGAAAGATCCAAGGTGCGTTTTAAGTGAAAAACACAAAAATCAGAACCACCTGTGTACCATGGTCACTTTTTTGTCAAAACAAATAACAAAAATGTGTGTATTTGTATGTTACCGAATATTTCAAAGCAGTCTGCGACAGTGTATGGCAGGTACTAACAGAGGTCATCTATGGACATGGGATTAGAGGGACTTTCTTTTTTTAAGCTTTGGGTGTCTCATTTAAAAAATTTTTCCTTTGAGCACCTATTGTCATAGCCTTAAAAAAAAAAAACCCAAACCCCTCCCTTTAAGAAATGTCAGCCCCTGAAGTAGGGTTGGGGGAGGGGAGGAGGAGAAGGGCTTGTCGGGGTGGGGCGGGGCAACTAGGACAGTGGGGCATGAGGCCTTGGGGCTGGAAATTTTGAGGAGGAAGAAATGGGAAACCAAGTCAGATGCCACCAGGAGGTCAGAAAAAGTGCCTCTCAGATTTGGGAAGAGGTTGGTTTCCGAGGCTTGGTGGCTCCTATTTCCTTCTAAATTGCCAGTGGACATACTTGCTCCATTTTGCCCATTTGCATCTTCAAGTCCCAGAGCACCTCTGCTGTCAACCAAAGCTGGGCTGCACTACACACATCACTAAGCATTATGCTTAGGCTCACCCCACCCGAACCCGTGATGTCTACCCCAAGTCTGGGGACACAGATGTCTGTGTCCACTGCTGGAATGATGCTGAGTCTCACACAGGATGTACACAAAAGACCATCTATCAATCAAGCCATTCGCAGTATTTTTGTCCACCTGTTAAACCCCACTGTAGGTGGGACCTAAGTGCCCTCACCTTGCCCCTGTCTGCCTGATTTCTGTGTTTCTTGACCTGGCCTAATCTCCCTTTTCTTCCTTCTGAGGTTAGCTGTTGACTAACATTGAACACTAAGGCAGGCCAATTTGGAGCGTCCTGCTTTTATTCACTCAGTATTTGGGCCTCTTTTCTTTTTCATCAGTCGCCCTGACCTAGCAGGTTCCCACGTTTGGAGCGAGTCCCTGACTAGTGTCTTCCTTGCCCCAGGAGTTCCGTGTCCTTTACCCCCACCAGTGAGGGCAGGCTGAAGAGCTGCCCAGCGGGCCTCTGTGGGCTGCCTGGCCCCTTTCAGCTGTTTCCCTGCTGGTGGGCTTCCATATGGCTCCTTAATTAGCTGAACACTAAAATTCACCAAGTAAAAAATGGCAGCCCTGGAGAATTGGGGGGTTTTCAAAAATGAGCATCCTAACCATGGCCCACTTTTTACTTTAAGAATTAAGTCTTTGGGGCCAAGTTATGTTTGCTTCCAGAACTGTGTTTATCTTAACTTTTTTTCCCCAGATTTTTACTTTACTGTCTCCTTTCATACTCACATGATGTGAATCAGTTTTCTTAAAACTATAGTTTTAAAATCCCCTTGAGACTTAATCCTGACAACATGTTAACACACTTGCCATCTGAATGTAATGATTTCAGAAATCCAGATGGTTTCTGTCCAGAGCTGTAGATCTGAGCTGAGACCTGAAAGAATTAAAAGATGTTCCCCATTTGTTTTCTTCTAAATGATTGCAGTTCTCAGAAATACCAATTACTCCTCCCTAGAAACTGGGATAAGGTGTACTATTAATTGTACACCCAAATTGAGGGCATCAAATGGCAACACAAAGTGTTTGGTCATCCATTCTTTAGAATAAATGATTGTTCTCCACATCTTTCCTCTGCATTAGAGCTGGTGATAGTGAGCAGACCCTGGTGACCGCCTCATTTGCCAGTTACGAACCGTAACTGACGGATCACCCAAGAAAAATGGATATTCTGTCTGTGTAAGCAGAGAAATGATGAATAATAAACACGAATTAGCGCCATCTGGGTTGAAATTTCCCATCAGGGATGAATGTTTATTAAAAAAAAAGATCATTGACAGCCTTCCCCTCATATGCTTCAGAGGTGACTTTTAGAATAGCCTACTGAACTGGCTTTTAGATTTAAGTCTCAACTGCTTGTTTTTCAAAAGTTCATCCACTTACTAACTTTTAAAAAATGTATAGGAGCAACTGGAAGGCTGTTTCTTTGATCTTAGGTGATTGTTTTTTTCCTGTTGTTTTGTTTTTAATTTAGTAGTGACAGGGAAGCATGGCTGTCTGGGCAGCTAATAATAGCCGACTGTGAGATGAAGTGAATGATCCTGTCTTTAAAATGAGCTTGACCTCAAGGCAAGTTTACATGACTGTGGGAGGAGAGCTCCTACCTGCTGAAAAATTTCCAATAGTTTGTAACTAATTTAAAATTTATGAGTAACTCTGGTAATCAGTCTTTGTTAACACATTCAAGTATCAAAATATCAACTAAAATCAGCTCTTGCTACCTGATAAAGTCTCCTAATTGGCCTGGAAATGTCTCAAGTTAGGAGAAATGTAGCATTTCAGCAAGTTTGGCTTGCCATTTGTAACCTGATATTCCTGATGGTTTGTTCATTCATTCAGCAAACATAAATTTCAGTGCCAAGCAGTCATTGTTTCAACAGTTGTTACTTGAGTGCCCACAGCGCTCAGGGACTGGGACTGAGGCAGGTACAGCCAGTCTTCTGAACTAATAGAGTTTAAGCATCTGATTGTGTGGGCACATTGAGAATCCTGCCCAAACGCTGAGAGGGCACTGCTGGGCATAGGCGCTCTTACGGAGCAGCTGTCACATGTCTGCCCTGAGGCTTCCTAAGGCCCTGAGGCCTCCTAAGGCCCTGAGGCCCTGAGGCATCATTGTCTTCCGGGGGTGCACAGCCTAGTAAGGGACATAGAAAACAAGGCATCCTAAAAGGTAATATAGGAAGAAAGCAAGTTCTGGGAGCCTGGCATTGCCTCATCTGAGCTGGTAATGCTAATGACTGCCTTCTGCCCCCTGCAGCATGGACAAGGATAGCCCAGACGTCCACCAGGACCTGAACGCCCTCAGAACCAAATTCCAAGAGATGCGAAAGGTCATCAGCACCATGCCCGGCACCCACCTGAGCCCTGAGCAGCAGCAGCGCCAGCTGCACAGCCTCAGGGAGCAAGTCAGGACCAAGAATGAACTGCTGCAGAAGTACAAAAGCCTCTGCATGTTCGAGGTCCCCAAGGACTAGATGCAACCAGCTTCCAGGGGTGCCTAAGGGGGTGAGCTCTCTGACCCACCTCCTTGGAGTGCAGCTTTTGTGGACCCAGATTGGGACATTGCCCAAGAAGCCGGCTTCCCCAGGCTTCTTCGTCCAGCATGAATCTGTGTGTCTAGATGCATAGTTACCTGAGTGCCTGCTGGTGGAAAAACATTCCTGGAGGCTGGAGAGGGGCTGGAGGACTCTGCCTCTGCCTCTGGGGAGGTGGCCTTCTGCCGCGACTCAGCTCTGCTGGCAGATCTTAGAGCGCAGTAGGGAAGGAGGCGGCTCCTCCTCGCTTCCTCCCTCCCTCTCCTTCCGCCCCCTGGACACGATCAATGTGTACCAGGTACATACTGTTCCATTAACAGCTGTGTGAACATTTGAATAGAATTCACTGGACAAGTTAGGCCTGCACTCATATGGCATGGATTTAAAGTGGTGCAAGGCAGTGAGAGAATGTATACATTGTTTTGAAAGACTACAGGGTAGCTTTTTCCCCTGAAACGGGTTGTTTCCTTTTTTATGTTGAGTCATTGAGTGTCCGTAGGGGTTTCAGCCCTGCCAGGCGGCCCCTGTTTCCAGGTTCTCTGCCTCCCAACTGTTCTTGTTACTTCTTTTAGCTCCCTGTGTCTCCTGTCACCTCCAGTCAGCTCATTTGGCCATTTAATGTGAAGAATGGCCAAATCACTTCAGACCCCACAGCACTTGCCCCAGGGTTGGAGGGGACTGTGACCTCTGCACTGGCTCAGACAGGTTTCCAGGTGAGAACTTGCCTCCAGCATGTCAGGTTCCTCTTGTCCTCATTTAAAATTTGTTCCCCCCCCAACCCCTGCCTCCTCAGTAAAGAATCAACCACAAACATTTACTGCACTGCAAACAGAGGTGATCATGGTGTACTTCTTCAAAGGGCAGCTCTAAGTGATGGTTCCAGTGGCCCCCCTGGCCAGATGTGACAGTATAGTTCTCAGTCTTTTCTGAAGGGGTGGGGTGAGCTAGGCCTGGAAGATATGCAGCCACGTTCTGGTTCATAGTGTTTTATAAACACCCCTCATTTCTTCCTAATGGGACATTTTATTTGTGTGCTCTTCCCATGACTGACAGGCTGAGTTCTTTCCCTTGCCTCTTAAGAATGAGGTGAGAAGTAACCAAATATTGTTTAGCTCTAGAAATGGGCACATAGCCTGTACTGACCAATTCAGGGGCTTAACAGATGCCCGTTGATTGGCCTCGTTGGCAGGCGTACCGGTTGAAGATGTTTTTGGCATGGTTTTATTGGGGCCTGTGTGCAGTACCTGTCAGATGGCCGGCGCGCTGGGAGCTCAGGGGGTGTGAAGGGGGATCAGGTCTCAGTAACTTCGGACGGAGAGCAGGCTCTGGATGTCAGTGGTGGTGACCTGTTAGATCAGTTCTACCTTGGGACTGTTACGTAACTGAATCAGTTATTTTCTTGAAATTTCAGAGTAGTGTGTGGGCCCGTTTTAAGGCTCTGACCAAATGCTGTGAAACACTAGGCACGTAGAAATACGAGACAGCTGGGGCCTTTCTGCAAGGCTGAAATGGACAAGGGCTTCTCACTGGGCAGAGGGAGATAGAACCCTTCACATATTCCAGTGTTTGACGCAGGATGTTTTTCAGGAGTACAATCAAAGAACTTGGGCTCTGCTCACAGGACATCTTGGTTTTTTACTGAGACATTCATAGTAGCATGATGTCTATTTTGGATAGGTAAGAGGAAAGTGCTCCCTTTGCCTCAAGGAGACAGAACAAACTGAGCAACTGTGCTGTGCAGCCTCCCCCCGCAACCCCCAACTGCAGGGCAGACACAGCGAAGGCCCAGGAAAACAGAGTAGCTCCTGTCAGGAGAGGCACCTGTCCCCAAAGGCGCAGTTGGCCTGTCGGGTCATCCTGTCTGCCTGTGATTCATTGCCCCTGGGCTGTCCTTACGGCAGAGGTGTGTTCAGTCCTGGTGAGGAGCTGCCCCCACTGGGCAATAGTAAATGCCCCTCAGAGGGCTGAGCACCCTCTTGAAGCCACCATTCACAAGGACTACTGAGTGGCTACCCGTCCATGCACATTTCATCCTCCCAGCAACCCCATGCAGAGGATGCTCTGTCCCAGGGTGAAGAAGCTGAGGCTTGGCCCCTGGCATGTGACCTGAGCTTACACAGGGAGGGGTGGCAGAGATGCTGGGTCCTGGGTTTGAGAGAGGGTGCCTTCGACTGCTGACAAGATTGCAAGGCAGAGAAGGGTTCTGGGCCCCCTCCTGGAGCAACAAGCACTTACTGAAGCTGGAGGGGCACGGGAATTGGGGTGCGTGAACTGTCTCCAGCAGCCCCTGGGGCCTGGAGAGGAGCGAGGCACCAGGGCCCTTGCCAGCCTAACACCAGTTGAGGCTCCATTTCCTTAGTTGTGAATGCAGGGCCCACCTGACACCTCAAAGCATCTGCATGCTTCAGGGTTGAGGGCCTTTTGTTNCCTTGTAATCTTTTCAAGTTTATAATTGGAAAAACATGGAAGAGTTACATAAAAAATAAACACAGAAAACTTCCAAAAAAAAAAAATGGTGGGTATTGATCCTTTTTTCCTAGGACTTCATGGTTTCGTTGTTTTACTTTTAATTCTGTGATGCTTCTGGAATTTACTTTGATGGAAAGAGTAAGGGAGAGGGGGCAGCCTGTCCCCCAGGCAGCCGCGTCTTCCCGCAGCTGTCACTGAGTATTCGTTTCCCCAGCTCGAGCTGCCACCTTTGCCATACACTGAATTCCCATATGTTTTCTGATCTACTTCTGGACGTTTTACTTTTCTTCAGTTACCGAACTGTGTTAATCTTAAGTCTTCATCCTACATTTAATTATCTTCAAGGCTAGTCTTCTCGTTTTCCTCTTGGCAGTATTTGCCCAGAGCTCCTTTGCCTTTCCCAGCCTATCTCCTGGTAGCCTAGGTGCTTTTAGTGTTTCTGGTTAGTGGAACATTTAGGTTTTAAACAGCTCCTTTACTTCCAAGCCTGTTGGTCATGCTCCAGGTCTTCTAACCTCATTTTTGGATCTTATAATCACTTCCTAATTAGTTCCTTTGCCTTTGTCCTCCCCTCACTCTAATTCATCGAATGCATGTTATCAGGTTAGTGTTTCTCTGCCCAGAAGTTTCTGGGGCTCCCTGTTCTTCCCAGCTTTTAGCCCTGCAGGGATCTCGGCAGACTGCCTTCAGAGGCCTGCCCAGACTGTGCAGCATAGCCCCAAGCCCCAGAGTTGTTCTGACGCCAGTGCCCTTTGGGTAGGTGTGGTCCTGCGGGCTGTGCGTGCTCTGGCCCCTCTGCAAGGGTGCCTTCCTGCCCTGTCTCTGCTCAGGGAAATGCCGTGTATTGTTATGGATCTGCTCAGAGGCTGCCCATCTGTGGGAGAACTCCTGGCCCCTGCAGGCCCACTGGCTGGGATGCACCCTGCCTGGCATTGGAGGGAAGCTCCCAGCCCCGTAGCATTTCTGTCCCTCCTAGTGCCTTTCCCATAGTTGAATGAATTAGTAAAGCCACACATTTGTGATATTTTTAAAGAACAGGAAAGAGAAAAGAAAAATCTCATTTTTATGTCAATAAGAAATGATCCCAGCATTTTAAGGCCTTTTCTGATATATACAGCAGCCATGTTGTAGAAGTACATGTATAATATATAATAAAGGGTGAAATGAAATGAGGCCTGTTGGAACAGGGAAGTTCTCTTTTTTTCCTTAAAACTTGCCAGATCTAATCTGCATCTGGCACTGAGTGTCCAGCCGAGGAACTGTGAATTGCAGCCATCGCTGTCCTGCCCAGTAGTTTTGTTTTACCTAGTGAAGTATTTTGCCAACATGGGGACTTAAAACATTTGTTCAATTTTTTTAGTTCTTTAAAATGTTTTAAGTTGCAGGGTAGGTAATGGGGGCTTATTGACACTGCAGAGGCAGTTCAGGTGACCGGCATACCCCCCTGACCCTTACTTTCCAAACCAGGGCCACATTGCTTCAGCAAGCCCCTTTGTCTTGGAGGCAAGCCAGCAAGACCTCAGAGCCAGACCTTTTTTCTGGGAACTGGATATTACTGACCGGCTTCTTCCTACACAAGATCTATTTTAGTCGAACCAGCCCTCCAGGCCAGCTGAGGCCTATCCTCTGGCAGCGCAGGAAGTGGCGACCCCATCAGTGGAAGTCTGTGAAATGACGGCGCGGGCTCCATGGGGCTTGTCTGTATCCGTTTGCTGCTGTTCATTTTCTTCTTCAACCAAATCCCACTGAAAAGGATGAACACCTGATAGGGGCTATTTGTAGACTGGGAGAATTCTTTCCGGGCCTGCATACATCTTTCCTTTGCCACTGTCATCACTGTGCATTCAGCATACCTTATCAGGCACCTGCTGGAACAGAGGCCCTACAGAGAGGCAGGCTCTGGGTGTCAGGTGCCTTAGTGCTGCTTAGACAGTGCTGCTGTGAAGCATCTACACTGGGTCTTGGGAAGGGTGGGGCATTGGGCTTGGAAAGGCCCCTTTGCTGTAACTTGCCTGGCAGGTGTCCTCTGGGAGCAGGGGAACCATCTGAAGCTTTTGAGCTCAGAGTGGGGTTTGTGAAGGTAGGTGGGGCAGAGGGTTTGAGGAGCAGGAGAGGACCGGGTCTACAGGAAATCAGTGACAGTGGAAGGAGGAGGCAGAGGCCATACAGAGGAGGCAGGGTCAGCAGGACTGGTGACCCTCGGTGGGCAAGGAAGCAGTGGGAGCAACTCTGAGGTCACCATAGTCGTGTGGGTGAGGTGTCCTCCGTCTGAGGTGGGGCAAGCTGGGGAGGCAGTGAGTCTACTTTGGACATTTGCAGACCCAAGGTGGAAAAGATTGGTAACTGTGAGGATGAGGGAGCAGAAATCCAGGAAACAGGGCTGGGCTGGGGAGTTCTCGGCCTCCTGGGGGCAGGGGTGGGTGCGTGCATTCTGGGCTATTTGGTAGAGCAGTGTTTTTTTCCAGCTTCTTTTAGCAGCAGAAACTTTTGCAGGCCCTCCCTAAAAAAAGTATTTTCCGTGTGTAACCCTGTGAGCATAAAAGGTAAAAACAAGGGTGTGAGGTTCACAGCCACTCTCCCAAAGTCCTCTTAGGTGCTGACGGAAGTGGAGCAGAGAAATACACAGGGCCGCTACATACGTTTCCGAGGCTGTGTGGGAACCAGTATTAATGTCCATCGTCACAGGGAGTGTATATCAATAGTTTTTTGGAGGACATTTTGGTAATCTGTTAAAACTTTTAATATACATAACCTTCAACCCAGAAATCCCACTTCTGAGAAATTATCTAACTAAAATATTTGCACAAGTACATACATAGGTACAAAATGTTCATTGCCATTCTGATTACAAGTGATAAACCACAGACGCCCAAATCCCCACCTGCAGCCAAATAATTTAGCTGTGTAATTGTATATGTATGTGTTAACATGGAAAGATCCAAGGTGCGTTTTAAGTGAAAAACACAAAAATCAGAACCACCTGTGTACCATGGTCACTTTTTTGTCAAAACAAATAACAAAAATGTGTGTATTTGTATGTTACCGAATATTTCAAAGCAGTCTGCGACAGTGTATGGCAGGTACTAACAGAGGTCATCTATGGACATGGGATTAGAGGGACTTTCTTTTTTTAAGCTTTGGGTGTCTCATTTAAAAAATTTTTCCTTTGAGCACCTATTGTCATAGCCTTAAAAAAAAAAAACCCAAACCCCTCCCTTTAAGAAATGTCAGCCCCTGAAGTAGGGTTGGGGGAGGGGAGGAGGAGAAGGGCTTGTCGGGGTGGGGCGGGGCAACTAGGACAGTGGGGCATGAGGCCTTGGGGCTGGAAATTTTGAGGAGGAAGAAATGGGAAACCAAGTCAGATGCCACCAGGAGGTCAGAAAAAGTGCCTCTCAGATTTGGGAAGAGGTTGGTTTCCGAGGCTTGGTGGCTCCTATTTCCTTCTAAATTGCCAGTGGACATACTTGCTCCATTTTGCCCATTTGCATCTTCAAGTCCCAGAGCACCTCTGCTGTCAACCAAAGCTGGGCTGCACTACACACATCACTAAGCATTATGCTTAGGCTCACCCCACCCGAACCCGTGATGTCTACCCCAAGTCTGGGGACACAGATGTCTGTGTCCACTGCTGGAATGATGCTGAGTCTCACACAGGATGTACACAAAAGACCATCTATCAATCAAGCCATTCGCAGTATTTTTGTCCACCTGTTAAACCCCACTGTAGGTGGGACCTAAGTGCCCTCACCTTGCCCCTGTCTGCCTGATTTCTGTGTTTCTTGACCTGGCCTAATCTCCCTTTTCTTCCTTCTGAGGTTAGCTGTTGACTAACATTGAACACTAAGGCAGGCCAATTTGGAGCGTCCTGCTTTTATTCACTCAGTATTTGGGCCTCTTTTCTTTTTCATCAGTCGCCCTGACCTAGCAGGTTCCCACGTTTGGAGCGAGTCCCTGACTAGTGTCTTCCTTGCCCCAGGAGTTCCGTGTCCTTTACCCCCACCAGTGAGGGCAGGCTGAAGAGCTGCCCAGCGGGCCTCTGTGGGCTGCCTGGCCCCTTTCAGCTGTTTCCCTGCTGGTGGGCTTCCATATGGCTCCTTAATTAGCTGAACACTAAAATTCACCAAGTAAAAAATGGCAGCCCTGGAGAATTGGGGGGTTTTCAAAAATGAGCATCCTAACCATGGCCCACTTTTTACTTTAAGAATTAAGTCTTTGGGGCCAAGTTATGTTTGCTTCCAGAACTGTGTTTATCTTAACTTTTTTTCCCCAGATTTTTACTTTACTGTCTCCTTTCATACTCACATGATGTGAATCAGTTTTCTTAAAACTATAGTTTTAAAATCCCCTTGAGACTTAATCCTGACAACATGTTAACACACTTGCCATCTGAATGTAATGATTTCAGAAATCCAGATGGTTTCTGTCCAGAGCTGTAGATCTGAGCTGAGACCTGAAAGAATTAAAAGATGTTCCCCATTTGTTTTCTTCTAAATGATTGCAGTTCTCAGAAATACCAATTACTCCTCCCTAGAAACTGGGATAAGGTGTACTATTAATTGTACACCCAAATTGAGGGCATCAAATGGCAACACAAAGTGTTTGGTCATCCATTCTTTAGAATAAATGATTGTTCTCCACATCTTTCCTCTGCATTAGAGCTGGTGATAGTGAGCAGACCCTGGTGACCGCCTCATTTGCCAGTTACGAACCGTAACTGACGGATCACCCAAGAAAAATGGATATTCTGTCTGTGTAAGCAGAGAAATGATGAATAATAAACACGAATTAGCGCCATCTGGGTTGAAATTTCCCATCAGGGATGAATGTTTATTAAAAAAAAAGATCATTGACAGCCTTCCCCTCATATGCTTCAGAGGTGACTTTTAGAATAGCCTACTGAACTGGCTTTTAGATTTAAGTCTCAACTGCTTGTTTTTCAAAAGTTCATCCACTTACTAACTTTTAAAAAATGTATAGGAGCAACTGGAAGGCTGTTTCTTTGATCTTAGGTGATTGTTTTTTTCCTGTTGTTTTGTTTTTAATTTAGTAGTGACAGGGAAGCATGGCTGTCTGGGCAGCTAATAATAGCCGACTGTGAGATGAAGTGAATGATCCTGTCTTTAAAATGAGCTTGACCTCAAGGCAAGTTTACATGACTGTGGGAGGAGAGCTCCTACCTGCTGAAAAATTTCCAATAGTTTGTAACTAATTTAAAATTTATGAGTAACTCTGGTAATCAGTCTTTGTTAACACATTCAAGTATCAAAATATCAACTAAAATCAGCTCTTGCTACCTGATAAAGTCTCCTAATTGGCCTGGAAATGTCTCAAGTTAGGAGAAATGTAGCATTTCAGCAAGTTTGGCTTGCCATTTGTAACCTGATATTCCTGATGGTTTGTTCATTCATTCAGCAAACATAAATTTCAGTGCCAAGCAGTCATTGTTTCAACAGTTGTTACTTGAGTGCCCACAGCGCTCAGGGACTGGGACTGAGGCAGGTACAGCCAGTCTTCTGAACTAATAGAGTTTAAGCATCTGATTGTGTGGGCACATTGAGAATCCTGCCCAAACGCTGAGAGGGCACTGCTGGGCATAGGCGCTCTTACGGAGCAGCTGTCACATGTCTGCCCTGAGGCTTCCTAAGGCCCTGAGGCCTCCTAAGGCCCTGAGGCCCTGAGGCATCATTGTCTTCCGGGGGTGCACAGCCTAGTAAGGGACATAGAAAACAAGGCATCCTAAAAGGTAATATAGGAAGAAAGCAAGTTCTGGGAGCCTGGCATTGCCTCATCTGAGCTGGTAATGCTAATGACTGCCTTCTGCCCCCTGCAGCATGGACAAGGATAGCCCAGACGTCCACCAGGACCTGAACGCCCTCAGAACCAAATTCCAAGAGATGCGAAAGGTCATCAGCACCATGCCCGGCACCCACCTGAGCCCTGAGCAGCAGCAGCGCCAGCTGCACAGCCTCAGGGAGCAAGTCAGGACCAAGAATGAACTGCTGCAGAAGTACAAAAGCCTCTGCATGTTCGAGGTCCCCAAGGACTAGATGCAACCAGCTTCCAGGGGTGCCTAAGGGGGTGAGCTCTCTGACCCACCTCCTTGGAGTGCAGCTTTTGTGGACCCAGATTGGGACATTGCCCAAGAAGCCGGCTTCCCCAGGCTTCTTCGTCCAGCATGAATCTGTGTGTCTAGATGCATAGTTACCTGAGTGCCTGCTGGTGGAAAAACATTCCTGGAGGCTGGAGAGGGGCTGGAGGACTCTGCCTCTGCCTCTGGGGAGGTGGCCTTCTGCCGCGACTCAGCTCTGCTGGCAGATCTTAGAGCGCAGTAGGGAAGGAGGCGGCTCCTCCTCGCTTCCTCCCTCCCTCTCCTTCCGCCCCCTGGACACGATCAATGTGTACCAGGTACATACTGTTCCATTAACAGCTGTGTGAACATTTGAATAGAATTCACTGGACAAGTTAGGCCTGCACTCATATGGCATGGATTTAAAGTGGTGCAAGGCAGTGAGAGAATGTATACATTGTTTTGAAAGACTACAGGGTAGCTTTTTCCCCTGAAACGGGTTGTTTCCTTTTTTATGTTGAGTCATTGAGTGTCCGTAGGGGTTTCAGCCCTGCCAGGCGGCCCCTGTTTCCAGGTTCTCTGCCTCCCAACTGTTCTTGTTACTTCTTTTAGCTCCCTGTGTCTCCTGTCACCTCCAGTCAGCTCATTTGGCCATTTAATGTGAAGAATGGCCAAATCACTTCAGACCCCACAGCACTTGCCCCAGGGTTGGAGGGGACTGTGACCTCTGCACTGGCTCAGACAGGTTTCCAGGTGAGAACTTGCCTCCAGCATGTCAGGTTCCTCTTGTCCTCATTTAAAATTTGTTCCCCCCCCAACCCCTGCCTCCTCAGTAAAGAATCAACCACAAACATTTACTGCACTGCAAACAGAGGTGATCATGGTGTACTTCTTCAAAGGGCAGCTCTAAGTGATGGTTCCAGTGGCCCCCCTGGCCAGATGTGACAGTATAGTTCTCAGTCTTTTCTGAAGGGGTGGGGTGAGCTAGGCCTGGAAGATATGCAGCCACGTTCTGGTTCATAGTGTTTTATAAACACCCCTCATTTCTTCCTAATGGGACATTTTATTTGTGTGCTCTTCCCATGACTGACAGGCTGAGTTCTTTCCCTTGCCTCTTAAGAATGAGGTGAGAAGTAACCAAATATTGTTTAGCTCTAGAAATGGGCACATAGCCTGTACTGACCAATTCAGGGGCTTAACAGATGCCCGTTGATTGGCCTCGTTGGCAGGCGTACCGGTTGAAGATGTTTTTGGCATGGTTTTATTGGGGCCTGTGTGCAGTACCTGTCAGATGGCCGGCGCGCTGGGAGCTCAGGGGGTGTGAAGGGGGATCAGGTCTCAGTAACTTCGGACGGAGAGCAGGCTCTGGATGTCAGTGGTGGTGACCTGTTAGATCAGTTCTACCTTGGGACTGTTACGTAACTGAATCAGTTATTTTCTTGAAATTTCAGAGTAGTGTGTGGGCCCGTTTTAAGGCTCTGACCAAATGCTGTGAAACACTAGGCACGTAGAAATACGAGACAGCTGGGGCCTTTCTGCAAGGCTGAAATGGACAAGGGCTTCTCACTGGGCAGAGGGAGATAGAACCCTTCACATATTCCAGTGTTTGACGCAGGATGTTTTTCAGGAGTACAATCAAAGAACTTGGGCTCTGCTCACAGGACATCTTGGTTTTTTACTGAGACATTCATAGTAGCATGATGTCTATTTTGGATAGGTAAGAGGAAAGTGCTCCCTTTGCCTCAAGGAGACAGAACAAACTGAGCAACTGTGCTGTGCAGCCTCCCCCCGCAACCCCCAACTGCAGGGCAGACACAGCGAAGGCCCAGGAAAACAGAGTAGCTCCTGTCAGGAGAGGCACCTGTCCCCAAAGGCGCAGTTGGCCTGTCGGGTCATCCTGTCTGCCTGTGATTCATTGCCCCTGGGCTGTCCTTACGGCAGAGGTGTGTTCAGTCCTGGTGAGGAGCTGCCCCCACTGGGCAATAGTAAATGCCCCTCAGAGGGCTGAGCACCCTCTTGAAGCCACCATTCACAAGGACTACTGAGTGGCTACCCGTCCATGCACATTTCATCCTCCCAGCAACCCCATGCAGAGGATGCTCTGTCCCAGGGTGAAGAAGCTGAGGCTTGGCCCCTGGCATGTGACCTGAGCTTACACAGGGAGGGGTGGCAGAGATGCTGGGTCCTGGGTTTGAGAGAGGGTGCCTTCGACTGCTGACAAGATTGCAAGGCAGAGAAGGGTTCTGGGCCCCCTCCTGGAGCAACAAGCACTTACTGAAGCTGGAGGGGCACGGGAATTGGGGTGCGTGAACTGTCTCCAGCAGCCCCTGGGGCCTGGAGAGGAGCGAGGCACCAGGGCCCTTGCCAGCCTAACACCAGTTGAGGCTCCATTTCCTTAGTTGTGAATGCAGGGCCCACCTGACACCTCAAAGCATCTGCATGCTTCAGGGTTGAGGGCCTTTTGTTGCCCAGGACTGTACTGAGTAGAGGGCCACCGCCCCAGAGGCTCTTGGTGGCTTGGGCCAAGGGGGAAAAGCAGGTAAATGGCTAGAAAGCTGCATCTCTAGAAAGGACCCTGAAGCCCTTCATTTTGATCCTGGCTTTCTAAGGAACTGGGCCCAAATAGGAGGCTTTGGCTCATCAACTGGAGCCTTTTTCAGGCTTTTCTCCCGGGAGTGCCGAGGCTACTTTCAGAGCATTGGGGTTATTTTCCAGTTGTGGGAAAGAGCAGTCAGTCAAATTTCACAATAGAAACCCATCCCTCCTTTCTTACCCTTCCCACTTCGAGCCATTTCTAAAAGCAAAGAAAGCATGATTTCCCATTTTTAATTATTTTATTTTATATTAAAAAACAAATTAACAATAACCTTAAAGACCATCTCACACACACAGTACAAACACCTGGATAAATTTTGTTCATCTCCATGGCATCAGAACTTATTAAAGTGCAAGTTTTGTTTTGTTTTCCTTTGTGCAATTTCACACACACATGTAAACAAATCACTTGGCCATGATATGCCCATACCCCTTAACTTTTGGGGGATGCAAAGGCTTTCTTTCCCCAGCTGTCACAGCAACCCAGAATCACTGAAAAGATAATGCCCCATTTGTCCTGTCCCGACCCTCCAGCGGCCGGATGCGTTTCTCAGTCTAAACAATGGCTGATTAACTAACTCCCACCCCCAACCCAGCCCCATTCTTAGCTTTGCGAGAAACCAGACAAATTCACTCTGTACTGGGCCCCTGGCCCCCAGGCGGTGGGGTGGGGGGCTGCACCTGTGAGAGATCCGAGGTGGGGGAGTCCATCGTGGCCAGCTGTCTTTCCTTCCAGAGCAGATGACTGTCCATTCTTGGTTGCACCTCCCCATGTGCGCGGGGCCGCGCCGCGAGGAGGGAAGACGCCAGTCCGCGCGTGCACGCGGCCAGGGGCGCAGCGGCCAGCTGGGACATCAGATGAGACTTAAACAAAGAGGTCCTCCTTAGGCTCTGTCGCCAACGCAGGGGTTGGGGGCGCTCCTAGCTGATGACGCAGCGCTCCTTGTCCTTGGCCTGGCTTCCGCCGTTGGCTTTCTCACGGATGTACATGAGGTCGCTGTGCACGCTGGGCCTGCGCGCGAAGGGCGCCACTATGCCGAAGGCGTCGCCGGGGTCGCCGCCGCTGCCCGCTCGCAGCAGCTTCTTGTTCCTCAGCGCCTTCTTGTGCAGCACGTCGTAGTGCTGCACCGACACTTTGCGGTGCAGGTCGGGGCTCATCTCGCTGGGCAGCTTGGCCATGGCGAAGAGCGCGCGAAACATCTGGTCCAAGCTGCTGTTTTTCTTGGCCGAGATCTCGAAGTAGGCGCAGCGCTGCGGGTCGTCGCCCAACAGCTGCTCGATCTCGCGCTCCTCCACTTCGCGGTAGAAGTCCCGGTCACCCTTGTTGCCGCAGATGACCAGCGGCACGTCCACGTTCTCCTTGGTTTTGTTCTTGAGGCAAGACTTAGTGTCGAGGATCTGCTGCTTGAGCCTCTGCACCTCCTCGAAGGAGTCGCGGTTGTCCAGGCTGAACACCAAGATGAAAACGTCTCCTACGGGGGAGGACACAGCAGAAAAGAAGGTGAGTGCGGCTGCCAAGTGGACAACTTCAGCTGGACTGACTTTAGGGCCGCCCGACCGCAGGCGCCGGGGCTCCAGCAGCCCAGCGCGGAGCGCGCTGACCTCTCCACGCGCAAAGCGCAGCGCGCGGCGATGGGACGCCTCTAGCCCCGACCCTCGCCCGGCGCCCTGGGACTCGTTGTCTCGGTTTCCCCTCCCCCCACGATGGCGCAGCTCCCTCCCCGTGCCCACTGCCCGGGGGACCCGGGCTCACCGGTGAGGATGGACAGACGCCGCATGGCGGGGAACGGGTGGTTGCCGGACGTGTCGAGGATGTCCAGCTGGTAGACCTCGCCGCGGATGGAGTAGAACTTGCGGTGGAAGTCCTCGATAGTGGGCGTGTAGGCGTCCTCGAAGCGTCCCGTGAGGAAACGCGACACAATGGCCGTCTTGCCCACCTTGGACGAACCGAGGATGACCATGCGGTAGCAGTTCTTGGCCGGGATACTCAGCTCCGAATCGCTCGGGCACATCTTCTTGATCATCGCGGCCAGTTTCATTGGGCGGAGGGGACGCGGGGCCGGGAGCGGGCCACGAGAAGCGCAGGCGGGTGGCCGGGATCGTGGGAGTGGCGCAGGTTGGGCTGCCGTGCGGCTCTGCTGGAGCTCCGGCGGGGGCTTAGCTCGGGCTCTGGGGCAGAGTCGCTCGCTCTGGGTCTCCGCGCATAGAGGCCGCCCTTATATGCAGCCCACGTGGCCGCCCCGCCCCGCGCCATCCCTGCCTCTGTGCGTCACGCCCGCGGCCCCCGCCGCTCCCGCCCGCGCCCTCCGCGCGCCGCTGCCCGCAGGGCGCGGGAAGGAGACCGAGTCCAGGGTCCGGCGGGGGCTGGAGCGGGCAAACCTGCGCTTTCCCACTGCACGGGGCTCAGTGGCGGCAAGAGCGTCTGGTTGCAGCTCCTGTGACTGCGGCCAAGAACCCTCACTCACAACACACACACACTCACTTTTTTGGGCCCTCAGTTTCCCCTGAAAGGCAGTAGAAATCCAGGGATAGCAGCGTAATAGCAGGTGCTTACAGATGCCAGGCACCGTGCCTAGGCTTTGCTCGCCTTAGCTATTCGGTCTTGAGAACAGTTCCCAGCGCCAGTCCCCTCCGCTTTTCCGCGGGCGGGTGCTGGCTCCGCAAGGCGCCGTTAGAGCCTAGGACGGCGCCGCGCTCCGGCCGCCAGAGGGCAGCAGGGGGCCCCGGCGGCAGCGCCGGGAGACAGCGGGTACCGCGCTCGGGCCTACGGCCGGCGGCGGAACGTCCTGGTTGGCGTCTGCGGTGGACACCTCCTCCCAGCGGGCACCGCCCCCACCCCGCTCTCTAGGGCAGGCCTCAGCTTCTCCCTTCTTTCAAACAGAGGTACTCTGGGGCCTGGCAGGGGTTTTCGGGGGCTGTCCTGTCCTCTTCCTGTCCGCGAACAAAAGGACCAGAGACTTGCGCGTGCTTGGCCAGGCTGAGGCCAGCTTTCCCTTCTGCCTCCCGCATAGCATTTCGTGCCTTTACAGTCACTTGGGCCAAATCCCCATTTTATAGCTGGGGGAGCTGGATCTGAAAGCAAGAGCCAGGCGGAGGGGCTGGGCGCACAGCACAGCCTCTGGTTCTCTGGCCTCACGTTCCTCCACCGGAAGATGGCAGTTCTGGTTTAGTGACTGTGGGTAAGAAAGTGCAATTGAGGGGGCAGGACCTGGTGATGACAACAATAGTAAATGACCCATGAGGCTGCGGGACTGGGCAGGCGGTAGCAGCTGGTTGCTCAGTAACCGGGAGTGGGCTGACACTGCTGGACGGACAGCCTAGAAATAGGCTGCCGAGCTTGCTGGCCGTGGCCTGGAGCTCATGAAAACACCATTGCTCTGCACGGTGCCCGGCAAGGCTGTGCTGGTTTGCTTTGGCTGTGTCTGATTTGAGAAAGCCAGAAAGCTATTGCATGGTGCCACCCGCCCACCCACAAGGGTCAGGATGTGTCACCTGCCCATCCACAAGAGCCTCTGCCGGGGTGCCAGCTCGCAGCCCTCTGCTGTTTGCACAGCATATGTGGAATCTCAACCGCTTGTTGGCGGGGGGTGTGCCTTCAAAGGTCATCACATCCAACCCCTGTGAGACCAGGAGCCCAGCAGAATCTCACACCCTGTGCCAGGAGGGGGGTTATTTGTGCCAGGAACCGTCCTAAGTCTTTCCTCGTGGCAACCTCGAGGGGTAGAAACAATTGCTCTCCCTTTTACAAAGGGAGAAGCCCAGGGTCCACAGCTAGTAACTGTGGGCTGGGGCTTGAATGCATGGGGCTGGCAGTGCTGGCTCCTAAGCTCCTAGTCTCCTGCCCCTCTACCTGTGGCTCTGCCCCCTGCTGTGGGATGTCTGTGTCCTGTTTCTCAGGGACGCTAATCCTTGGATGTCTCTGCTCCTCTCCATGTCTGTGCCCAGGCCTTGTGCCTATTGTCAACTAGGTATTTCAAAGGCCCTGTCACATCATGGGCACTGGAGGTCTCACCACCAGCCCTGTCCTTTATGCAGTTGTCAACAGGCCAGCTGGGCTGTGTCCCCCACCCCAACCACTCCCACCCCCACTGAGCCTGTGACCCCCTGCGCAAGCTGCCATGGACAGTGGTGGAGGGCCTTCACTGCAGAGAGGGGCCAGTCGAGGGTGCACGCCGGGGCTGGTCACTGCTGGTACCTACACTACCCTCACATGAGGGGCCTTCCCTCTGCCTCCTGCGAAGGCACCATGGGGGCAGCTGGGCTCTGGAACAGAACTCCTTACTGATGTCCCATGCCTGGGGGCCTGCACTAAAGGTGGCAACCACAGAGCCACCCCCTCCACAGCCTCCAGTCCTAGGAGGGTCACTCTGATGAGCGAGGCCTGAGGGCAGCAAGATTTGAAACCAGTTTCCCCTACAAGGAGCCAGTGGGTGGGACCCAGCCTAGATTGAGAGCCTCCCTCCCTGCAGCCCAGGTCAAATGTCACGGCTGAGGCTGATATCACTCCCCCAGCCCTTCCAGCTGCTAAGAAGCTGGACAAGTGACAGTAGCTGGTGCTGAACCCAGCCTGGGTTCCCAACCATGATTCCTGGCACCTTCTGGGCATTTCACCCACCCCACGGATGCCAGGTTATAAGACTTGTCCTTTCAAGTCAGCCAAGTTCATTAAGCCCTGAACACATCTTTCTTCCCCCAAATGAAGCCCCCTGGCCTGCCCACCCGCGCATCCAGCTAGTGGGCCTCACTCCACAGGAAGCAGCCAGAGGTGGCACTCGCTGGCTCGGGCTGCCTTGTTTCCACCTTTTCTTTAGACATATCTCTCATTACAAAAGTCATCCATGCTTGTGTTTTAAAACATCCAAACCATTTCAGAAAAGAACAGAGGCGGGGGGACTGGAAGCAGGCCCCCTCCCAGCCATCTCTGGGGAAAGCACCAACCCCAGGCACGGGGACGACCCCCACACAGCCACCTGCCCAGATCTTTATCAGTCGAAGCACCCTTTCTATTCTGGGGTGGCCTTTGTGACTACACTAGGCCCAGCCCCAGGCTGACTGAATCTGCGTGCCTGAGTTGGGTGAGCCCAGAGTCCCCTGTGCCGCAGCTCCCAGAGCCTCGATCTCCATCTGAATGGCCAGCAGTCAGGCCTGCTGCGTGCACAGCAGCTGTTCAGGCAGCGCCGGCTGGGCCTCCTCCATCTCCCATGGGGCTTCTTGAGGCCCACAGCTAAACAGAGACAACCTGAAATCCCACATCACCGGCAGCCTGTCTGGCCTGTCCCGTGGACATCATTCTGGACTCCACACTGGAAGGGGGCTTCCCAACCCCCTGCCCCACATCCCGCCAGCCGTAGTGTTATCTGTCTGTCACCCAGGTTTGTGATGTTATGGGTGACTTTGTTCCCTCTGCTTCTGGACATAAGCAAGGAAGAGCGATTCATGAGCCAGCCGGTAAATGGCACTTACTTGCAGGGCAGCAATTTTCCTGCTGAGTAGAATGGGAACTTTTAAAAATACTTGACCAAATTGTTGGAGGTGGATTGACAGGGGGACAGCTGGTCCCCAAGGCAGGAAATGTCTACCATAGCCTGGTCTGGTGACAGAGTTTAGAAATCCCTTGAAAGCTGTGTTTGAGGACAATGCCTGCAGGAGGGATGGAGGCAGGTGGACACGTCTGGCCAGCACCCATGTCCTAGTCCATCTCCAGCAGCCCCTTTCATGGAGGACCCTGAGCTCCCGTCCGTCCTGCGTAGCCCTGGTCCATAGCCTGAAGAGGAGGAAGGGACCAAACAGAACTGGTTTCCCGGAACTCTGACAGGCTCCTTCCATTCAGCTGGGACCATAGCTGTCTGGCAGGTTCCCCTTCACCTATGAGCTGTTCTCAGCCCATGGCTCTGGCCCACCCCCCCCAGAACCCACCGCCCACAGCCGTGGGGACCAATGGGTCAGGACACTTCGAGCACCTCAGTCCTGCCCCGACAAAGGGACAATTCAGGCCATTGGGGGCTGAAGGCTGTGTGTACAGAGGTGCATGTGGAGGAGTGAGTTCCCTGTTCCTGGGGGTATGCAAGCAGAGAGACAGGGATTGAAGCATTAATATCAGACTAGATACCTCTTGTGGCCTCTCAAGCCCTGAGACAGACTCTGGATTCCAGAAGTGAAAGAGAAAGCCTCACGGAGCCCCACGGGAGATGGAGGAGGCCCAGCCGGTGCTGCCTGAAAGGCTGCCATGTGCATGCAGCAGGCCTGACTGATGGCCATTCACATGGAGACCGAGGCTCTACGAGCTGCAGCACAAGGGACTCTGGGCTCACCCCAGGCTCCCAGCTCACATGAGGGAGAGGCTGATCCTGTGTCCTTGGAGGGCTGGGTGCTTGAGCAGTAAAGGCTGGAGCCAGGAGGAGGAGCCAGTCCTGCTCATACAGCTCCGTGGTCAGGCTGGACCTGTAGGCCCCAAATGGTCATGCGGCCTATTCCTTGAGGTGGCACGTGGTCCATGAAGGGTTAGGAGAGAAATGTCAGCCGTAACCAGAGAAGCTGAGTTCAGCCTGAGGAGCAGGGCGGGACAAGTGCTGGGCCCAGGTCCTCTGGTCCCAGCCAGGAGGCCCTCCTTGCTGGCCCCAGAGCCCCCACCTCTCCTCCGACTCCTCCACCCAGAGGGAGAGGAGGTGTGGCTCGGTGGGACTGAGCTGGGTTCCAGTTCACATGCTGTCATACTCGTGTGCCCCTGGACAAGTCACCCAGTTTCTGAGCCCCACACCCTCTGCTGCCAAATGGGTGCCCCCAGCCTGTGTGACAATCAGGAGACACAGCCAGTGCAGGGTGGCCAAAGTAGAGGCAGGCCAAGTGTCTGTGGTCCCTCCCTATCCCTGCAGGCTCAAGGACTGCAAATTTGGAGGAGGGAGCCCTGCTGTCCCGCCACTGTGCCTTCCCACTACATGACCCCTCCCCACTACGAGACCCCTCCCCACCACCACAGCTAACATGGGCTCCCACGCCCACCAGTACTTTCATGTCATTTTTTAAATGTTTGGCATACTATTTTTCACTCTCTGGTCATTTTCCCTGGACGGCAGCTCATGGGAGCCAGGAACCACTTGGCATGTGGGGGTGTCAGGCCACCGGGTGGTGGGCTTGCCAGGGCAGGAGTGAGGTGGGCAGCACAGGAGGCCATGTCTGGGCAGGACCCCTCCCTGCCGTGTGTGGCTGCACTGCCCGCCTTGGCTGTGAGGCTCCAGTGAGGAGCGGCCTAGCCTCAGGAGTGCCCCAGCCGAGCCTCTGGCCCACTCCTTCCCCAGCTGGGTGGAGAGAGGCCTGGAGGCCACACTAGGGTCAGGGCGCCTTTATTAGTGATTTGGGATGTGGTGGGGGCAGCAGGTAAGGGGGCTCAGTAGCCACACAACAGCATGTTCAGACCCCCAGGACAGTGGCTGGAGCGGCCCACACCCTCACGAGCTCCGAGCTGTGGCCGGCGCCCATCTCCCATCACAGGGCTTGGCATCCTGGCAGGCTGGCAGGTGGCAGGCCCTCAGCAGAGTGGCTGCAGGCCCAGTCAGTGTCTCCTGTAGGACTGGGAGGCTTTCTGCCGGTAGATCTCAGCAGTGAAAGGCCTGAGGGGTAGATAGAGGCTCCGGTCAGCAGGTCTTGGGGGCCCTGCCATCACCCCAGGCCCCCCACCCGAGTGTGGACAGATTGAGGGTATCAGGACCAGGAGGGCCCAGGGCAGTCTCGACACTGCCTGTCTGGCCCGCAGGCCCCACTTTGCCCACTCTAAGCTTCCTCTCCACCACTTTGAGAGTGACATGGTGTGGCCTAGCTGACAGGCAGCCCGGCCCAAGCTGCCTGGTCACTAGAAAGGCCCTGAAGGGAGAGGCAGGCCAGCTCAG